AAATTCAATGTACAGTATATGGCATCCAATTGTTCACAAATGAATTAATCAATTCAAGCACTTAGTTGTGTCAATATTAGTGAGTTTTGTTTTGCTATCGACTCCAATGCTGGGACTCCTGTCGACAGCGCCGGTCGCGTGTCGGCCACTCTGTCGGCCACCACCGGTGCCTCCATTGGCCAACTCCTGAGCGCTCCGTTTGTGGCACAGAATAAAGTGATAAAATTTTTTCGCACCGTTTTTGAAGCTATTGTTTAGATAGCAGTAAATGAAGGGATTGTAACTGTAAAACAAATAACAATATATTATACAAATATATTATGGATATAAATATAAATCAATGATAGATTTCATTGTTATTTTAATCCCTAATTAATTTTATTAGTTATTTATTACAAAAATAACATTAGTTTTATATTGAATGTATTCATTAATAATACAGTATTATCGTTATTGAATAAATACTGTTTGGATAGGAAAATATGCTATAAATTATTCAGTTTAAATCCATTTGTTTTGTTATTTTAATTAACGTCCATCGAATTGATCTTATTTTTAATTAACTCGGATTTAAATAATAAGATTATCAGCTAGCCATAATAATATAATGCTTACATTATACGCCCACGTCATAAAGTATCTGGCCAAAATATCTAGCTACAGTATATGCTATTGCAATATATGCTAACCCAGTAAACAGAGTTGTCTAAATATCGAGTTTATTTAAACTCCAGTAAATACTGATTAATATTTTAAGTGAAAACACTTGCAAACTATATATAAATAAAATTTAATTAAATGTCTAAAATTCCCAAATAGTTTAAGTGGAGACAAAACATTTTTGGCACGTTTTTTGGCAGCATTTTGATGTTATAATTATTTTAAATTAATACAAGTTTTAATGCAAATTCTATACTACAGTATATTCTTAAATGCACATCACTTTTTAATAAGCTAATTATCATAATAATGTTCAATTAATCATTAATTTTCTCGGTAATTATATCAATATCAATCAATTTCAATACAATTTGTGACGAATATATAATTATTTGTATAATTAATTATCATATATGATAGAAAATGTAAATTGAAATTTAATACAATATTAATAAGGCGTTGGTCACATATTACGTTCGCACTATTTAAGAAATCTATACCCCTTTGTTCGCAATTGTTTGCATGGAGTCATTAAAAAAATACGTTCGCGTAAAAATGAATCTTTTAAGCTTTTTAAATTGTTTAAATGTAAACCCTCTGCCATCTCCTTCGTTAACAAAATTTGCTTTATCCGACGCCCTCCCCCCCCCNGTTGGTTAATTATTTTTAAATACGAAAATATGTTTTAACAACAATTATTGTTAATTTGTTAATTAAATACTGAATACAAAATATTATTTAAACACTAATTAATATCATTAAAATTCTATTGAAAAACAGAATAATTTATTATACAATTTATATGAGAAATAATACCACTATATCATATTGTAAAGCAATACCATGTTGTATTTAATGAACATCACGAAATCATTACCTGTTTTTTGTTGTTGAATATATAAAAAATAATTTTCATACATATATTCATTGTATTAATGATATGTTTGTGTAATTTTAATAATATTCATACAGAATATTCTGTGTTTTTGTGTTTATAGCTTAAAATCAATATAACAAAATATACTATAAAATAATGATAACTATTAATAGACTTTTGTATTTAAAATTAATAAATTATAACACATTTGTGTTTTAATAACAAATTAGAATCATTTATCAACAAATAATTTTTAATAATATTTATAAATAAATTCTGAGAAAAGTGAAAAATAAATTTTACTAATAAATATTTGGCCATTTGTTTCTTGTAGACACAATGTAATCAATAATAAATTAAAATCAATCAACAAATATATTACATCATGTAGCTTTAATTAAATTGTTGTATGGATTCGTATAGATTTAATTGTTTGGTGTTTCCGAGACTATACTAGAATAAACATCTAGTTTAATAAAGCAGACAATATAGGTTTCGTTTGTAGAATATTCTGATTAACAAATCTGTTCACATAATTAAAGCATAATTTATTTTGATGTCAAAATTGTTATTTAAATTAAATTGATGTGATTTTAATTTTAAACTCTAATATTGAGCACTTATTTCAAACATACCACTTATATAAATTTAATATTAATATTTAAATTCTATAATATATAAATAAAATAATTAATTATCGTTATTATTATTATTGTTAAATGATAAATATAATTGTTGTAATGAATAGTAATAAAACAGCAAAATACAAAATGATATATCACCTGAAATGAAACACAACTAAAATATTGATACAACATATTTATTACACTATACGGATAGTACAGCATTGATAACGACAAACCCCACACAAATTCAATGTACAGTATATGGCATCCAATTGTTCACAAATGAATTAATCAATTCAAGCACTTAGTTGTGTCAATATTAGTGAGTTTTGTTTTGCTATCGACTCCAATGCTGGGACTCCTGTCGACAGCGCCGGTCGCGTGTCGGCCACTCTGTCGGCCACCACCGGTGCCTCCATTGGCCAACTCCTGAGCGCTCCGTTTGTGGCACAGAATAAAGTGATAAAATTTTTTCGCACCGTTTTTGAAGCTATTGTTTAGATAGCAGTAAATGAAGGGATTGTAACTGTAAAACAAATAACAATATATTATACAAATATATTATGGATATAAATATAAATCAATGATAGATTTCATTGTTATTTTAATCCCTAATTAATTTTATTAGTTATTTATTACAAAAATAACATTAGTTTTATATTGAATGTATTCATTAATAATACAGTATTATCGTTATTGTATAACATACTGTTTGGATAAGAAAATATGCTATAAATTATTCAGTTTAAATCAATTTGTTTTGTTATTTTAATTAACGTCCATCGAATTGATCTTATTGTTAATTAACTCGGATTTAAATAATAAGATTATCAGCTAGCCATAATAATATAATGCCTACATTATACGCCCACGTCATAAAGTATCTGGCCAAAATTTTTAGCTATATGCTAACCCAGTAAACAGAGTTGTCTAAATATCGAGTTTATTTAAACTCCAGTAAATACTGGTTAATATTTTAAGTGAAAACACTTGCAAACTATATATAAATAAAATTTAATTAAATTTCTAAAATTCCGCAATAGTTTAAGTGGAGACAAAACATCTTTGGCACGTTTTTTGGCAGCATTTTGATGTTATAATTATTTCAAATTAATACATGTTTTAATGCAAATTCTATACTACAGTATATTCGTATATGCATATCACTTTTTAATAAGCTAATTATCATAATAATGTTCAATTAATCATTAATTGTCTCGGTAATTATATCAATATCAATCAATTTCAATGCAATTTGTGACGAATATATAATTATTTGTGTAATTAATTATCACATGTGATAGAAAGTGTAAATTGAAATTTAATACAATATTAATAACGGCGTCGGTCACATATTACGTTCGCACTATTTAAGAAATCTATACCCCTTTGTTTGCAATTGTTTGCATGGAGTTATTAAAAAAAATACGTTTGCGTAAAAATTAATATTTTAAGCTTCTTAGATTGTTTAAATGTGAACCCTCTGCCCCCTCCCCTTCGTTCGCAACAATTTGCTTTATCCGACGCCGTTATTAATATTGTATTAAATTTCAATTTACACTTTCTATCACATGTGATAATTAATTA